AAAATTGATTATTTTATAATATGTACGAAGGACGCGGATAAAACAACTTGTATTATGATTCAGCTTTCTCTATCACAACATACTTGTCATTTCTTACAGCAGCAAATAATGTTGTTTCGCCATTTGAACTTGTCGCTTATTCGTTTAGCTCAAAGATAACAATAATTTCGATTTCAAACTCGAAACCAGTTGTGAACTCTCGCTTTCATCGAGAGCATACAGGTTCTTGGGGAAATAGCAATTTTCTTATAATTGCTCAATTTTAACACGTCTTGGCAGCCAATTAAATTTCGTTTTACCTGATTGACCAAAACAGTCGTTTATATACCTACTATTATTACTTGTATTTTTTTAAAAGTGTTTAGAGTATTTGATTGACTCCTTGGTATTAATCAAATTTGTTATTTTTTTTATCTAAGATATGTTGGGACTATGTCTGGAAATTTTTATATTAAATAGATGGTAAGAATATCAAACTTACGTCGGGGTCATGGCGTCAGAATGTCCACAGATAAAAAGGATATAAAGTGTAATCTCGTTTTGGTTTCAGTCTGTGAATACCCCAATGTTAAACATCTAGAATGATTCATCATCGTAATTGATGCTTGTACGTCCTCCTCTATAAAAAAACTGAGTATCTGTATATGCATTTATCCCTTAGCTCGCACAACAACACTGATAAAAAGACGAAATCAATTTTAATAATATAATAAAATACAATTTTATCCAAGAATATTTGTTATTAATATTATATTACATATAAAACTTTAATATTGCTACGTACCTACTACGTAAATAGATTATACTGTTTAAAAAAGTATTAACACAGAAACAATCATCAAAATCTTTATTTTTAACCTGAAATGAAATAACAAATACGATGACAATTGCTTACATTATTTAAATCTATAAACGCAGATTATAAAATGCGACTCACGGGATTCGAACCTGTTGTGTGCACTCTACCACCTCTCAAACAATAGATGATGTCAAAAACTCTCTCACTATTACTTGTTCAAGTGATTAGAGAATATTTATGAGATTATATTCGAAATGGACTTTTGAAACGGTTTAACCTTTTATCTAAGTCTGACCTTTTCATTGTTACATAAAAACTGTTTTGACCTATCAAACTATGTAGAATTTACGATATACAACCTGGCAATAAGCAGACATTTAACGAACTACATGATCTGGCTAACGTTTTTTGGCTATATAAAATATTTCGACCAAAGTTGATTACCATAAAAACGATTCTTGCGAATTAATCTTAAGAGATAAATATTTACTGTCGCGGACATTTCTTTAGATCATTTAAAGAGGAATCATTACCGTATAATTTAAAAATCGACAATGAATTGAAATGTAATTTAATTTCGATTTTTAAATTATATAGAGCCTTCATGTTCAATAACATGTAAAGAATAATAAAGTTTTTAAACATAATTGAACGGTTTTCGCTGCGCGCGCGCGTTTTTTCCACAAACCCTTCTGTTAATTATGTTTTATAGTCTTAAACCTTCCTTAACAAATGATTCAAACAACATAATTAGAACTTATCAATTCAAACCATCCTGTGATCCTGAAACAAACTCTTCAGCGTTATAATATTAGAATAGATAATTCTAAACTATGTCGCAAAGTATTTTTCAACATTCCACAACAAATCCAATTATTTTAAGAATATAGAATTCCTTCAAAGCAAACTTAGGTACATGTATTGGGTTTTATCAAAGCTATGTTTGCATCCGTCAAAAGTCATTTTAAAAAGAGACACGGTTGTCAAGTCGATATTCAATAAGTATTTTCACAGTTCAAGACGGTATGCTGCGCGGGCGCAGGTGTATACGGATGTGTTCGTGTCTGTGACGTTACGTCACGCTCTACTTACCGTAATAGTGAAGGAATTCCTAGAGCTATACATAGAAACGATATTTGAATAATACTTTTTCTTCTTGAAAACTTATTTAAATAAATAACAGAAAAGAAAACTGTTGACATTTTTCTCAATCTGACTTAAATATATGTCTAAATAAATTATAGGTCAGAAAATCCACTTTTAACTTGCATCTGAATCTTTATTGAAGCTTTGCTAAGCTTTGTGTGCTGTTTACGTCAGTAGTATTCATTTTAATAAAGCACTTTTAACAGTTTAAAACTTGAAAACATTTTTTACTGCAACCTTCGGATGTTCTGCAGCAGCCTTTATTACGTCTGAAACTAATTTAAAAATATTTCGCGTTTTAAACCGTTTTATATGAGCTAATAAATAATATCTTTAATAGGTTAAACTGGTAAATAAACTATTTTAATGATTTGAAAAGCGAAATATATTAGTAAAACTTATTTGAAAATGATTTAAACTCTGCCCCGACGTTGACGTTTTTGGATGCGTTACGTATATGTTAGTTTATTTTAACGAATATACACGATTTAAACACTTTAAGTATTATTTAAATTTGATTAGCTAACATAAGACAAACAATTTTTTATACCTTTTTCTCATTTTCGGTGCCTTCTCTTCTCTTCTTGGTTCCTTTTACCTCTCTAGGCTTTCAACTTACGTAATGCCACTTACAAATGAACCAATGGTAATTAGCAAAACTTAGTTATAACATCATTAAATATATCATTACAAAACCTGTAATACTAATGTTTATAACTTACAAATGCTTTAGATATAACGATATTTTACATCCGTCGTTCGTGGCATTTTTAACCGTTTCTAGATAAATACAGAATATAACAAATATCTTGTGTTCGACAATTTCTGTTATTTCATAATTCCGTAAATGCAGTTTTATGGGTAAAAATATCCTATATACACATATTAGGACACGGCGTACATTTGTAAGTACATATAAGTTAACAGTACAAAGATTCCGAATGACTAAAACCGAAATGGGTCAACAGCACATCCTACTGATATGTTACAGGGCTAAAGCTTGATACCCGCTATTAAGTGCTATGCGTGTCAGTCTTTTCTTTGTCCATATGCACCTTTTTACATAAAAACACGATTCAAAAGAATGAAGATTCAAGATAAATCTAGGTTGATTTATTTTTATAAATATTTTATAAAAATAAATCAACTTGACAGTAAACATGATCGATACAATGCGGAAACATTTTTGAGTATTGTTCTACTTAGAAAGTAATACACAAAAGTGACTGTTAGACCTTTACGATCTTTGCTAAAACTTGAGTCAAATCCCATTTCCCACGATGGGGCATACCCCTCGCCTCATGAGGCGAACACATTTTTGTATACGTTTTACTCGTCGCCTTTATTTACAATAAGTAGTTGATCAGACTGTGTTCATCTCGACCGAAACAGTTTATTGTTTCCAAGGGCTTTGAACTTAGGACCTCTTGCACTTAACGCAATGCTACGCAACGCGTTCAACCTACAATAATAGTGCAGGTCTATCTCGAATATTTCCACAGAATAAGTAAAAACAGTAATGATCACTTAATCCAGTCGTGCGTAATACGTAGAAAGTGAACTTTCGTCGAGAGAATGTTACTCTGTACAGGAATCAAACCTGTTGACCATAGTCAACCGTTCGTTACGCAACACCTAGACGGAATCACCTTAATTTGTTTACGTTTAGGCCGTATATAAGAAAACGGCTTTTTTATTAAAATACTCTGGTTTTTTGTTGGGAACTAGAATCGACTAGATTCTCAAACAGGTTTGCCCGTTTTCGTAATGCAATCATTGGTAAAGAATTTGATTATAATGCACGAAATTCCTTGTAATTTCGCAAGAAAAACAATAAACTTATTAACTCAAATATATCGCGGCTTTACTTGTTAGCTTTAGTTGGGGGTATTGAAAATGAATAAAAACAATTTCAAAAAACAATGATTCGCGCCTACTATATCATTTTATATGTTTATCTGAATTCCATTTAAATATTCAGATAGAACCGTAAATATTTTTGACTGTTACCAAATACAAAAAATGCGTAAATTTAACAATTCAACTAATATATTTTACGTAAACCGTTAAACTTATTTTATTTTAAATACGCATTTTGTAAATAGGTCACGGAGTGTCTTATATTGTAGTGACTCTATATTCCTTTGCGGTTTTCAGCCGGCATATTATATATGTTAATAAGAATTAAATAGTTGAGATAGATTTAACCCAACGCATGCTTTCAACACGTCTAGCGAGTGAAATACGAGGTTTCATATTCCAATTGAGTCGTTTGTGAAGCAACGTCATTTGTGGCGCAATGCGCGCGCGCAATCTTTGGGATATTATCTACGAGCTACTATACGTTGACACCACAACCGATACCGCTTGAACAAGCCACTCGGGTTCCCACAGCCTGGCCTTGGTCCTCTTCTGAAGGGCAGTCTTCATTTCATATAATTTTTAATCAATCAAAAAGTTTTATAATCTCGATACAACTTACAATAACAGCGCCCTACACTACTTATTTAATAAACCACTCACAATGAAATGAAACCAATGTTTTGGAAATATCTTAAACCATTAGAAATGAAACAATGTTAATGGTTCATAACGTGAAATATCTTGGTTAATTTATTTTTTACTACTGCTCAAGTTTTACTGCAAAAAGGCAAAAAGTAACTATTATAGTTCTCATTTGAAACCTAAAAATTTATGTGTACGCTACATATATCTTGTTTGTTATGATGTTAGTGTTTAAACATTTTTAAAACGCTTAACAATAAACAAAACCTTACTTAACAGTAGATCAAATACTGAGTATAGGAGTACTTATTAGTTAGCATAAACAAAATGTAAATATGGTAAAAGAATCGGCAGAATTAAACAAAAATACTTAAAATATTTCGGGTTTTAAAAGTGTTTTCTTTGTCTCGCGTAAAGCACAATCTACAATTGTCACTTTAAAAGAAGTACTAAGCAAAGTACAGTACTAAAAGAGGTCGAATATTACAAATGTCCCTCACTATTATATTTTAGCTTTTTCGAGTTCAGTCTCGACAATGGATTTGCAAATATGTCGCAAATTAATAATGGTATTGTTATCGTGTCGCAACCATCTCCGGAAGCGTCCAGGTTATCCAAAAACCATGAAATTGTAAGCACTTGGTTATTACTCAAGTTACCTAAGTTCGTCACGCTGTTTGCGCAGTTAAGTTATGTAAAATTACGACTTTATCTTGTTATGTACATGTGTGTACCCGGCTTTAAACTATTTACTTACAACATGTAATGAGCAGTATGAATTTATTACTTGTCGTTTTTATCTATGGTTGTCCTATATGTGTATTTTTAAGACGGAGGAAGACAGTCGTATATATGGGGTCATTTTGTAAAATATCCCGAACAATTTTTAAATAAAACACTTCAACGGTTTAAAACGCGATATATTAGTTAAACTTATGCAGCAGCCGTGACCACGGACATCCGAAACGTCGGGCCGAAGTTAAAAATCATTTTCAAATAAGTTTAACTAATATATCGCGTTTTAAACCGTTAAAGTGTTTTATTTAAATGCGTACTACTCGCGTAAACTATAGACAGTATCTAATCCCGAACAATGTCTAAAGAAGATGCGCCGTCGACCTATTTTACACTTAACGACTCTTTCCAGACGGTTTCTATATTTCTTCCACCTGTTTAATATCCAGATGTCTAGACGAAGTCCAACATGTTTCAGAAAAATTAGAAATATATTGGACCAGTGGGGATTGTTGTTCATTAGGCATACATCGCCACCAGTAGACCAAGGAGTCCATCAACCTCATTCTGTTCTTGGTCTACATAGAAGTTGCCATTCCTAAATGTCTATCGGAAATGCGTTTGTCCCAAACGGTTGTCTTATATGAGGTGTTTTGAATATTCATTGCGTGAACAATTACGGAACAGTTAGGCCATCCTTTGTTGCTCTAACGGTATGGTCTTTGATGGAAAACAGTTCAAACTATTGTCTGCATATTGATTGAGCTTAATTGAACATACCAACATTAGGAATATGCTGTTAGCTTAACAAAAATAAGGTTAAGGTTGTAGCTACGATAAAAATAAAGATATTTATAAATGTAACAAAAAGTTTTGAAAAACACATAATAGTTTTTGTACGACGTATTCAAGTATGTTCATTTTACTAGCGGAATAATATTACATAAGAATGTATAAACTTTTAAGGACAATATCGAAATATATGAAAAATAGCTGTATATTGTTTAGTTTATTTGCTTACACGCTACAACTGCTATTTTTCTATGAATATGATACGATAAGAATGGCCTCAACAAGAGGCGCCTGTCGAACTTATTTGGGTTTTGAATATTCGTAAATCCAGAAACGCGACTAAATTTAAAAAGCCGTGTTTTTTTTTCAACTATCATAAATTTTACACTCTTGAATTAACTTAATACTTATAAATAAACCAATTTAAACGATTTAAAACGCGAATTATTTTAGCTACAGACCGATGCTTATATTTTGCATTTAAAATCTTTGAAATGATTTTATTTATATAAATAAATAAACTACCATAGCATGACTCTTAAAGTAAGATAAATGAATAATTACGTTATCTTCTTCTTCTATTCGTTTTCAACAACTTATAAGTAGAACACTAGTGTAGTGTTTACTTAGTTCGTCAAATAAAAATGTGATTTGAGGTCAGTAGAGGTCACCACCGGTCCTTAAGTTATGCAACACCGAACGTAATCGACCTTAAAATATTTCACCAGTATCGAAATATTTACTTGGGAAACTTCAATTCTTATACAACGCAGCGGTGATTTATTTGCTTCTTGATATTTAAAAAAAATACGAATCTTATCTATATTCTTACATAGTTTTTATTTCTTTTCGAAAGAAGTAGACTCATTCAGGCTTTATTAATTTTCATACTTTATTTGTAAGATACGTTAATGTATATTCTATAATTAATTTCTTTAAACCTTAAATTATATTTTATTGTTTGACAAAGTTAAAAAGCTTACGTTGAATATAGAGCGAAAAGAGCTTTACGAGAACCACGAACATAAAGTATTAATTACATACTGTATATATTTTACGCGAGTAGTACACATTTAAATAAAACACTTTCACGGTTTAAAACGCGATATATTAGTTAAACTTATTTGAAAATGTTTTTTAACTTCGGCCCGACGTTTCGGATGCTTTGCAGCAACCGTGGTCACGGGGAGACTAAACACGGAGGATGTCTCTGACGTCAAAGTAAAAATTGCTACGCTAGCGCCATCTGTTCCGTCGAAGTTGGTATTTGGCGAAACTGGCATTACAGAAATGACTAACGGTGTCGGGCCGAAGTTAAAAATAATTTTCAAATATGTTTAACTAATATATCGCGTTTAAAGCCGTTAAAGAGTTTTATTTAAGTATTAATTACAATGAATCTACTTTAAAGATCAACAACCTGTAGTAATAAAACGCTGTCGCCACATTTAAATTCAATTTCATGCAAATCAATTTGCCCATTGAACCGAGACGTTGACAATAGTTATAATTCGCTTGTTTGTAGAACTTTTAATCTCTTTTATAGACAATTATGATTGAGAAATGGTGTTTTGAAATAATTAGACAAAAGCAAATAACACTCGGTGTTTGCTCAAAGCATTATTTTGCTCATTATTTTTTATTTAATATATAATTGTGTATGTCGTTACTTAGTTCAAAATAGTTACATAGTATTGTGTTAAATAGTACTAGTAATTTTATTACACAATGGTATCTAGATGATTGTGTCATCTAAATATGTTTTGCCATATAATTAATTTGACTTTTCTTTTGCCAACAGGGAATCACACCATGGATTTCAATATTAGCAACTGTTTTAGCGCTGGCAACACCAGGTAAGTTGTATTTGCATCTGTGATTATATACTCTAGTTTTGTAATAATAGAAGTGGTAAGCATGAAGTATAGTCTGTAGTTTACCCGAGTAGTACACATTTAAATGAAACACTTTTAACGGTTTAAAACGTAAAATGCATTAGTTGAGTTATCTTCAAAGCCTCCCCGTGACCACGGCTGCAGCAAAGCATTTAAAACGTCGGGCCTCAGTTAAAATAATTGTAAATTAATTAATTGATACATTTCGTGTTTTAAACCGTTATGTCGTTAGCGTTTTAAATAAGAGAGACGCGTATATGTCAGTTATAGATAGTTAGTATAAACAGGCAAGAAAGTCATTCGATTTTTTCCAAGCAATATGTCATGATCAGAATTTAAACCATTAACAAGAGTTACTTAACCTTAAATATTTAATTAAATCGCTTTATATATAATAACATCGAACGCCTAATATTTATTACAAGCTAAGCCATACACAAAAGCTTATATATTAATAAAATAGCAAGTCTTTGCAAAAAGGTGCGCGTGAACTTTGGTAAAGCCGTCCATTGTTCGCGAGACAAAGGAACAAATTAACGCGAATGTCCGTATATGGACCACATAAATAGATTTGCAAGACTGCATTTATGCACTTTTTATCACAGAACATGCTAGACAAACATGCGTGTCTAATCAAAATTCGTTTATACATTAGAATAACGTTTATGAACGTCAATACAGAATTAAAAAGCTAAAGGTAATGTTTGTTAGTTTAAATACGCTTTTAAAAGAACACTTTAACGGTTTAAAACGCGATATATTAGTTAAACTTATTTGGAAATGATTTTTAACTTCGGCCCGACGTTTCGGATGCTTCGCAGCAGCCGTGGTCACGGGGAAGTTAAAAATCATTTCCAAATAAGTTTAACTAATATATCGCTGTTTTATTTAAATGTGTACTACTCGCGTAAACTATAGACGTATTTAAATACGCTTATCTAATTACCAGTCTAAATCAACAAGTATTTCCTTGTTTCATAGCCGATGTAAAGGTTATGTGTGAAATCCCGTTTCCCCTCGTGGGGCTTACTGATCGGTTTTATTTTCAGGCAAGTAGTTGATCAGACTTATGTGCCCTGCCCCGACCAAAACAATTTACTGATTCCCCGGGATTCCTACCCAGGACCTCTCACGCTTAACGCAAGGCTAGGCAATGCAATGCATCACGTTTAACCATTTAGCTACAAAGGCGGTCAAAAATCCGTGTTAATTTAAGCATATATATTGTTTAAATATCGAGTATTATAGTATATAATAGAGACTGTCTTTAGTCATTTTTGAAGTTTGTTTTTAAACAATTTCTTTTTTCTGGGAGAGATCGTTAGACAGCGATAGAGTAAATTTTCCTTAAATTTTTTTATTTTCGTATCTGTGTCTATATATTTTTCTACTAACTAAATATATCGTGGCCCAGAGTGATAAGTGCCTCAACAAATTTTAAACTTTAAATTGAAATCATATCAAACGGCTAAACTATAGGTTATATATACTTGGACTGACTGCAAGGCATCTATGACGCCCTAACGCAAGTTGTGGGCGGCACAATGGCGCATTGTTCAGCATTCAACAACAACACGCTTTTTGCACTTCTAGGAAACGTCGAGAGAAAACCTTCGCGTTCTCACTTCTTTAGCACATGTAGACAAATCGATGTAAATACAAGCTAAAAATAAACATCAGTGAAACATAAGTCTTATCTGCGACAAAGCTTACCTCCACAGTCTTAAATAGCACCATCTTTGTTATATTATACCATATTATTATATTATATCTATAAATTCGTAATCTGTTACGATTTTGATTAAATTCGATGTTATAATGATATCTCCTTGCTCCATACAAGCCTCCTCCAGTCTCCTGCATGGGACAAATTTTATTTTTATTTAATATTTTTATTTTACAAAATAATATTTACAGGCAAGTAGTTGATTAGAATTATGTGCCCTGCTGGTTAACAATTGGAATGCAACGAGCTACAAATACCACTTAATTGAGCTAACTTCTCATGAGCTACTGATGACTTATTGTATTTTTTTTTCAGCTATATCCAGCTCACCGCGGGTCGTTTGCTACTACACGAATTGGTCGGTGTACCGGCCTGGTACAGCCAAGTTCAATCCCCAAAACATCAATCCCTATCTTTGTACGCATCTCGTGTATGCCTTCGGAGGGTTCACAAAGGATAACACCCTTAAACCGTTCGATAAATACCAGGATATTGAAAAGGGTGAGTTTCTTATGTTGTTAATATATTTTAAATGAAATAAATAATGACAGACGCGAGCTTCAAACCTGCGACAGATGGCGTACCGCTTATAAATAAGTTTACTTATTTGTATTTAAAAGTACGTAGTAAATTACGTGTTTTAAATACTGTCTATAGTTTACGCGATTAGTACACATTTAAATAAAACACTTTAACGGTTTAAAACGCGATATATTAGTTAAACTTATTTGGAAATGAATTTTAACTTCGGCCCGACGTTTCGGATGCTTTGCAGCAGCCGTGGTCACGGGGAGACTAGACCACGGCTGCTGCAAAGCATCCGCGTTTTAAACCGTTAAAGTGTTTTATTTAAACGTGTTTTAAGTAATGTCTGTACTTTACGCGAGTACTACAACTCATTAAAAACACTAAATAATTTTATTTATTATTATTAATTAGTTTATTACCAACTTATTTTAACTACGAGTTATCCACGTTAACTAAAACACTTTGTGTTTTAAACCGTCAAAAGTGTTTTACGTATTATAATTATTAAAGTTTTTAGGACGTTTCAGGACCAACACAATTACGTTGTCCAGACATTCCTAAAAACTTTCCCATTCCGTTATGAAAACCTCAGACACAATAGAAGATAAAAAATCCTCTTCTCCGTCTCCCTCTCTACTATAATATTCATTTTGCATTGAATGGTACACGTGACATCAAAGTCATATGAGGACTTCAGAATAAAGTTTGGTTTGGTTTTCAGGTGGTTACGCCAAGTTCACTGGCCTGAAGACGTACAACAAGAACTTGAAGACACTTTTAGCTATCGGAGGCTGGAACGAAGGCTCATCTCGTTTCTCCCCAATGGTCGCATCCAAGGAGAGGAGGAAGGAGTTCGTGCGGAATGTTATCAAGGTATTTTAAATGCTTTTTAAAGTACTCATACACATATATACTGCCCCTGCTGTAAAATTTGTTCAATCGAAATAAACTTTTAATTTTTAGAAAACCAAGTTTTTATAAAAAAAATATTTTATTAAATTAATTAAGCTATTTTTTGTATTTTGATTCGAATTCTAACAAACTTAAATAAAACACTTTCAAATGTGTTAAACACGAAATATGTGTAAACACGGCCCGACATTTATATAATAAATTTCGCGTTTGAAACCGTTAAAATTATTCTATTTTAATGTGTACAGCTCGCGTAACGTTAATTTAAATACTAAGACAATTTCACGTGTTTAAAACGCGTAATTTATTAATAAACGTGGACCCCTCATGACTAAGGCTTCTGCAAAGCATTCTGAAGTACGGGCCGTAGTTAAAATAAATTATAAATTACCTAATATATTTCATATGTTAAACCGTTAAAAGTGTTTTATTTTAATATATACTGGTCGCGTAAGCTGCAGACAATACTTCTAACAAACTTTTAGCATTTTCCTTCTCGGACATAAGTGTCATGTTTAATAAGACCTCGCGTTTAGTGCAGTTACTTTTCACTGGACGTCACGAGTTAATAAATCGTCGGGCGCTTGAAAGCCTCACTTTCTACTCATTATCTGTTATTAGAAGACCGGATATCTGGTTCGGTGTATATTAACTATTTATTGTCGGCTTACGCGCAAGAAAAGACCATATTTTCGCCATACGATCAGTGTAAAAATGCAAACGAACATGGCCTTTCATTGCTAAAACTCTATCTATAAAGACTCTAAACTGCCTCAAAGACCGTTTAAAAGTTAACTTAAATAGATTTAAATAAAACACTTTTAACAGTTTAAAACTCGAAATGTATCCGAATCGAATTCTTTACTATTTTGGCTTTAATATATTATATTCTTCGTCTTCAGTCTCCCTGTGACCACAGCTATACGGTCGAATAGTAATTACATTAATTTACCTAATACATTCGCGTTCCAAACCGTTTAAAGGAGTTTTATTTCAATGTGTACTACTCGCGTAGACTACATACAGCATATAATGAATATCTTTATTTGCAGTTCCTGAGACAGAACCACTTCGATGGATTAGACTTGGATTGGGAATACCCAGCGTTCAGGGACGGAGGGAAACCGAAAGACAGAGAATACTACGCCAAGCTCGTGAAAGAGTTACGCGAGGAGTTTGAAAGGGAATCAGAGAAAACTGGTAAACCTCGTCTGCTGCTGACAATGGCTGTTCCTGCTGGAATAGAGTACATACAAAAGGGATTTGATGTCAAGACTCTAAACAAGTAAGTCGATTATAATTTTTATTATATTATTATATTTTTCCCATCTTAAAGATAATAATAGGTGTATAGATTACTAGCTGTATCAGCGACTTCGTCCGCGTAGAATATTTTGGCCAAATTTGTTTTTGCAAACCTCTGCATCTTTATAAATTTAAACTGCTACCCACGACATCGGTCGTGTAAATCTCTCACTCGTATCTGCTTCTTCGCTCCTATTAGTATTAGTCACAGCGCGATGTTCAGCTTTATATATTAGTATACATTATTTAAAAATAAGATTGGCTTCATATTAAAAGACTTTTAACGGTTTAAAACGCGAAATATATGAGTTAACTTACATTGAACTTGATTTCAAAGCACCCGCCCGTGTCGGGTGCTTTGAAGCAGCTATAGTCACTAAAGTTATCTGTGTGGGACATAGACTCTGTCTTCATATGCTCCCCTGGAGGTTGCAACAAGTTTCTGCTACTTTATAACTCGTAAAAAAGATAAATGAGCTATGCAGATGCAACAGCAGTGTGAATGCACACGAAGTGAATGTTAGGACGCTCCTTCAAAGTTCAAGGTGACGTAAGTCGCATTACCTTCACAATAATAGCCATTCATATCCGGAAAATCGCCAACAAATTGTTATTTCTACTAATGTGTTAAAGTTTTATAATGCCATCTAAGTAATTTATACGTTTTAAAATGATTTTATTTAGCTTGACTCGTACAGAATTTATTTATTTGGGACAAAATTAGAAATTGAAATTTAAGCATCATCCCGTTGTCAGATTGATCTGAAATTTGGTACGCACATTCAATTTAGATGACAATACAATGAAATCAATAACAATATAAATCCAAGATGGCCGCCGATACAAAATGGCGGATTACATATTTTCCCTTAACCCCCTCCATATGGGTATCAAATGAAAGAGCTATACTAGTAAAACACGATGATTATGTAATTATTTTTTTTGTAATTTTTAGTGCAAAATAAACCGTTTAACTTAAAAGTTTTTTTTTAAGTTGATACTTGTCTCAATTAAGTATACAATAATTTAATGTAATTTTAGTGTTTCATAAATTCCTATATCTCTGTTGGACATACGAGAAGCAAACGTTATGTGCGATATCTTAAGCAGTTAAGGCAATCAAATAAAATATATTCCATACTTTAGATAGAATTGGCTATTTTATAATTGTTAGTAATTTTCATATAACTTAAGTTCGCTAAAAACTTATCTAAAACCAAGGAAAAGCATTGTCTTAGTTGATTAAAACACTTACAACGGTTTAAAAAGCAAAGTATATTACTTAATATTTTTGTAAAAATAGGGGATTGACACCAAGACTAAACTTGACTTAACTTTAACAAGTACTAATTAAGTAGTAAGTAGTAATTCAACTACTTACTCGCCAATAAATTCGTTATTATTTCATTAAAACGGCTCGGCGTTTCAGATACTTCAGCCGTGGTCAAAGTCAAATCTGCTATCTTTAAACGACGACACGTGGCGCTAGCGTAGTTAGAATAAATTAAAAATAAGTTGAATATAATAAGTAGAATATATTTCGCGTTTGAAACCGTTAAAGGTGTTTTATTAAAGTCAAGGTCAAACCGCTAACTTGTTAACATCTTCACGACTTTGCCAAACGAGTCAGGGTCATATTGGTGACACTGTGCCTATTACATGCAACGTGACAGTGCCCATTGGCAATTGAACGTGTGCTCGAAGTGTCAACGACGAATGATCACGACTTAACGACTCTTGTGAAACGCCTTTACTTCTATTTCAATGTCAAATTGGGTAAACCATGTTATACCGTATATTAGCGACGATGCACTACACAGATGATAGACAAAAAGAAAGTCAAATTTAAGTAAAACGCTGTAACGGTTTAAAACGCGATAACGCCATCTATTCGCAAAATACTAACTACCACGGAACCGATGGCGCTAGCGTAGCTGTTTTTCCTTTGGCATTACAGACACCCTCCATCTTTAGTCTCCCCGTGACCACGACTTCTGCAAAGCATCCGAACTGGTTATAATAATTTCCAAATAAGTTTAACTAATATATATCGCGTTTTAACCGCGACAGACAGTATTTGATGAATAAGGTGGTGTTATGTTTTTGATTTATGTTCTTTGCATAGAGCCACTATAAACTCAATGTTAATAGGACGTCCGAGAACGACTTGCATAAGATTCTTCAGCTTTCATCACGTGTCATTAAGGTGTCGTTACGTGGTGTAACGCGGCCTGTTGAAATGTTTAAACAATGGTGGTTCGTTTTGAATACATAATGTGTTTGATTAGCTTCATCTAAGATTGACTTTCAATTAGTTAACTCGGCTGTCGATAAGCGACAGCGATGTCTGCAATTTCTATTTATAAGTAATACTATTATTAGTAATGGTAGAAGTTTTTTTCCTACTATAATATTCAACGACTTAAATATTTACACATGTGTTGTACATAATAGAATTGTATAAATCACTATAATATAAATACAACAGTGTGTGTTAAAAATCAACACAAAGTTTATTATGATGCAATTTATATCTATAATTTTGCTCACCGTCCTTCCTTTTAAAAAATAATCTATACTAATATTATAAATGCGATAGTAACTATTAAACTCAAATAAGCATATAGAAATACACTATACCATGGATATACTTATTATGAATACCTTTTTAGTTCTTTGCAGTGTAACACTGTATTTACACATGTGTCTTATAAAATAAATAGATAAACAGCCTAAATAATTGGAAAATTCTACCAAAAGTTGATATTCCGCGTGGACGAAGTCGCGAGCACAGCTAGTCATTTATATAACTTCATAAAAGCCCAAAAAGTCTCTCCAAATATAACTCATAACGAAACAGATGACGCTAGCATAGCAGGTTTGACTTTGACATTAGGGACACTCCAACTTAAATCCCCGTGACCAGAACTGCTGCATCCGAAACGTTTTCACATTTAAAACCGTTTAAAGTGTTTTATTTGTATTTTAACGTCAATCAAAACTTTACTTGTTTTAGAGATATATACATTTAAAAGCTCTTTGTAACAAAACATAAATAACGTTAAAATTACGTCATATTTTATAATACTAAATATATACAAAACCATATCGAACAAAAGCGTCTTGTTGTTTTAACTCATACTTTATCTAGAAACATGGCGGAGGCGGATATGAGCAAACCTTGAATCCTCGAATAATTTGTCCACGCATTTGGTAACTAAGCACAACACATGTAATTAATAGCTCTCCTTGTAAAATAAGACGCTATAAAATGACAGTTACGATTCTGTTTAAGGTAGTAACTTAAAACGACGCTAAGCAAGATACATATAATGAAAATTAACTTGGGTGTGTGAACGACCAGAAAAATTGTGGAAGCTTCGCTGTTTTTTTGATTTCAATTGCTTCGCGTACCGATATTGGAAAAAATCGACTCTTCTTTGCGAGGATTTTTGGCTGGTCTAAGCGAATGTAATGATTGGGCCCTTCCGATGAGTGTTGGCATACCGCAATTTTTTACTTTGACGTCAGAGAAATCCTCCATCTTTAGTCTCCCCGTGACCACGGCTGCTGCAAAGCATCCGAAACGCTGGTCCTTAGTTAAAAACAATTTTCAAACGAGTTTAACTAAAATATATCGCGTTATAAACAGTTAAAAGAGTTTTATTTAAATTTTCAGGTTACACTTAATTTGTAATGATACTTTATTTTTGTCCTTGATAATTTTGTAAATATTACTGATATTGTACATTGTGTCAGACAATTAATATATTTTTTTGGTCACAGATACCTAGATTGGATGAATCTTCTGACCTACGACTACCATTCGGCCTTCGAACCAGCTGTCAACCACCACGCGCCACTGTACCCTCTCGAAGAACCAAATGAATACAGCGTTGATAATGAACTTAATATTGTAAGTATTTGTCAAGTTTGGTTGTTAGTTAAAACTAGTATTAAGAATCAAACACGGAACTGCGAATGCCGGTTCAAGTCCTGTCTGTATCGTATTTTTTGTCGAATGATCGAATTTTATATTATAAAGCAATAATTATGACACTTTTATCCAGGATTACACTATCAAGTTCTACTTAGAAAATGGTGCTAGCCCGGATAAACTGGTATTGGGTATTCCAACCTATGGAAGGTCGTACACACTCTTCAACCCTGATGCTGTAGAAATCGGCTCACCAGCCGATGGTCCCGGTGAACAAGGAGATGCGACGAGAGAAAAGGGATATCTAGCGTTTTACGAGGTATATATCATCTAAAATTTAACGGTTTATAACGAGAAATGTTTGACTAATAACTTTTATTATACTGTCTGCAGTTTACGCGAGAAGTGCACATTACAATACCACTTTAAACTGTTTGAAACGCGAAATGTATTATATAACGAGCAAAAAAAAATTTCAACTGCGGCCCTTATCCTAGGCCTAAATAGATTTTTCAGTCCCCTGTGACCTCGGCTGTTGCAAAACATCTGAAACATCGGGCCCTAGTTAAAAAAAAAATGTAAATTAGTTTAACTAATACATTCCAAGTTTTAACCAGTTTAAAGTGTTATTAAAATGTGTACTACTCGCATAAACTACAGACAGTACATCACTTCGGATGGAAATCGACAACGTATCTTTTGTCTCTTTCGTTGTGAATAGTAGTGATTTTGGTATATTTAGTTATTTGCTGAACTACTTATTAATTTAGAAATTTAAACATAATGTAATCATTTTATCTTATCCCAGATTTGCGATGCCCTAAAAAGCAAAATCAACAAACGCGCTATATCCTCGGAAGAGGAAGATGAATCTGAAGAAGAAGACTCAGAAGAAGAAGAGAAGCAAGAATGGACAGTGATGTACCCGAACCCCAATGCAATGGGTCCAGTTGCGTTCAAGGGCAACCAGTGGGTTGGTTATGATGACATCGACATCGTCAAGAAGAAAGGAGAATATGTCGCGGAAAATGGTCTTGGAGGTTTGTAACAGCCGTTGTATTATATATTATAACTGCATATTCTGTTCTTACGGGCCATGATAATTCTAGTTCGATCCCCACCGGGTCCAGAATTTTTCAAATCAATTTATAATTTTTGGAAACATGTTGGTTTTCGTCTGGTTATTAAATGGATGATAGGAATATCAATATTTCGTTCGGGTCACGAACCCCCGTTCGCAGACGAAAAAGCCGACTTTAATAATAATAATAAAATAAAATAAAAGAATAGTCACATTGCTTAGATGCTATATGGATGTGGTATTTATTGTCTGTCCTCCTTTATCATATAATAAAATACATTGCGCGTATTCTGTGTACTCACTTTCAATAATTATTTTTCAGGTATAATGTTCTGGTCGATAGACAACGACGATTTCCGTGGCAATTGCTACGGGAAACCATATCCTCTGATCGAAGCAGCAAAGGAGGCTTATATTGCTAAATTAGGGTAAGTTATAGTTAATAAGTAGTGCATTCTCGGTAAGTACATAGAAAAAAAAAATTCTTAAACATACTTGGAAATTTGAGCATTATTTTAACAATGTTCTTGGAGTCGTATGAAAATCCATATCTGTCGTGTTTAACAGCGGAAAAAGTTGTACGTACAATATTTGTCGTGTAATTTAAAAATGATCGTACTCCGCAAAATGGCGACCAAAGAGGTGACTTATCGAAGTTCCGAAATCCGAAACGTCGGGCCGAAGTTAAAAATCATTTTCAAATAAGTTCAACTAATATATCGCGTTTTAAACCGTTAAAGTGTTTTATTTAAACTTATTGAAGGTTTGATTTAAAATTTTGATCTGACTGGAACATAGAAAGTTGTTAAGTAATAAAAATAGATTGCATGCAGTAATGTAGTACAAGTTTAGCTAGTAAATAATAAAAGTAAAAAGTTAGAAAATCGTAAAAAGTACTTTAAAAATAAATGGCTTTACAAATTTGTAAAAGTCGAAAATAATAATCATTACTAATATTTTTATTATTATTGACACACAAGTATTACACACCTAAGGATTGATAAAGAAATAATACAAATATACAGACGATAAAATAGCACAGAATTTTTTTTTCTTACTTGACTAAACGTACGAATATTGTCTGTGGTACGAGTATAACAATACGAGGACAAGTATATATAATTTAAAACGTGACACTAATATATTACGCTTTTTAGCTATTACAAACGTTTTATAGAAATATTGAAAACCATTTCTGTTAAAAATTTGCATAGAAGGTATTCTACTTTGATATTACATTTAATCAAATTTTGAAATTATATTTTCCAGATCGACTCAAAATACCGTGAGGCAGATTGATTCATCCAAATCTTCAACCTCAGCCAGCAGCAGACGAAGATCCAAGCCACGGTCTAGCACCACGACAACGACTACAACGCCTAAACCCAGTACTAAGTAAGAATTTAAATAAATTTAAAATTTATTCAGACTGATCTTTTTACAAATTGAGCTACATATTAGGACACGGTACAAAAGTAGCTCAATTGGTTAGAGCAGCAGCACGGAACGCTGTGACTGCCGGTTCAAGATCAGCCAGTGTCGTACTATTTTGAGTCTACAGAGATTTTAATTTTTATATCAAAGTTTTCCAAAGATATATATTTTTTAAGGTATCAGTAATCTATAAGTTTACGCTTATGTAATACTTACTCTACTTTTCCAGGAAACCAAGGTTATCAGCGCAGAGCTCAACTCCAGCATGGAACCTAATAACCCCAGAACCACCGACCACTCCGGACCCTGGCTCAGGTTAGATTCTTAGTAACAGTTCGTTACACAGTTGTTGTTGGAAATATATAAAAACGGGGTTAGTTTAGTTTTTTCGATACGGCGGAACGACAGCGCGCACAGTCAAACGCTTTTGAGTGGCAATCGTGCGATATGGCAGTGTACAGTGTTTCTTTGTTACATGTGATTGTCATTTAAAAATATAAAGTTTAAATCGCCCGCGTGTTGTAGAGACTATAAGTTGTTGTTGTAATAGCATCCGCAAGACCATTGCTCTCGTAAAATCAGTTTACGACGTAGTGATGTAACTTTGTACCAGCCCCTTCTTAGTTTCTAATGCTATTCCCTCTTGTCTGTGCGCTCTTTACAAAACAGACGAACACGCCACAATAATACAGTACATAAGTGAGGAGTTAACCGTTGCTTATTAGAATTGTGTATCGACTGTCTCTGTGATACAATTGTGTGTAAACTAAATTTAACATTCGTGTCTGGTTGCAGACTTCAAGTGTACAGACGAGGGCTTCTTCCCACATCCTCGTGATTGCAAGAAGTACTTCTGGTGTCTCGATTCAGGACCGTCGGACCTCGGCATCGTTGCTCATCAGTTCACATGTCCTTCTGGTGAGTATTTATTGATAGAAGGGTTTTCATGAATTTATAGGGGTGAAATTGTGACTGACAATAATATAATCCTTTTTTAACAGTTTCATTAGCAAAAGTTTTCCCAAATCCACAGGGCTTTACTTCAACAAAGCGGCCGACTCTTGTGACTTCGCGCGCAATGTCCTCTGCAAAAAACCAGCCGCGACCACAAAAGCGCCCACGACCAAGACCACTTTGACCACGACGACTACAACAACGACTACGACTAAGAGACCTATTCGGCTCACATCTAGAAGCTCAATTTTGTTCAGATCTTCTACAACCACGACAACTCCAGAACCAGAGGTAAGATCATTATTAAATGTGATAGAGCAGTTTACTTGAAACATAGACTAAATTAAAACAGAATATATATACATAAGATTAAACTGTCTGTTTCTGTGGTTCAAGTTTTCTGTTTAATAATTTTCGAAAACTAACGCAGTGCATTAGCTTTGCGCTCTTTTTAATGTAAAAATCCGGGGTTCTCCGGGGAATCTGTATTAGATAAAATCTCAATCGCACTCTAAGTGTTTATCTAAATAATATAATATCACCCGAAGGTAAGCGAAGAGGAAGAAACGGAAGAAGAAGTCGAAGACGGCGCAGATGTGGACGCTGAAGACCCGAAGGTTATCAAGGAACTAATTGAGCTCATCAAGAAAGTCGGTAAGCAAAGAGTTTGATTACAAGGTATACCTTAGCAGTTGTACTATCTAGAAGTGTAGAACATCTGAGTGACCGAGTCTTTTAAAACACAAATATCACATCTAATATTTTTCACATGTTATTGCACACGATGGCACTATATAAATTAAAAATCAATTATAAATATATCCTCGAGAGGTAATAATTGTTTAAAAAAAATTCGACGATCACGTGTAGGACTCGGTAGCTCAATTGGTTAGAGCAACGGTACGGAACGCTGAGGATGCCGTTTCAAGTCGTTCGTTTTTTCTTTCGATATATAATCGATTTTAATTTAAGATAATCTAATCTAATCGAAAAACTTTATCTTTATTAAGATTCTTCTGTTTTAACAGGTGGAGTGGAACAGCTAGAGAAGCACCTGCGCCTTTCAGAGACTGGTGTAAGTCCAGATGGAGTTGTGACGACAACGCCCTCTAACTTCAACAAGAAACTTTACCAGAAGGTTTTGGAGCGTGCCAGGGGAAAGAGCAAGTGCGTAAACTGTATTTTACTTCACTTTGACCCAACGTTGGCCTAGTGTAATAAGACCTACTTATTAATTGCGATTCCAGGATATTGCTACCGCAATATATGGTTAATAAATTATAGCCGAGAAATAGATTCCCACCGGGTCTAACATAGATATTATACATTGAAAATTATTTGATGAAAAAGTATCGTATCAAAGTGTTGAGCTGTTAACCAAAACAACAAAATAGTATGAAATAAATTTATCTTTAAAAAATTTACATAAACATATATTTCATTTTTAGATATGGCAACAATATATTCGAAAGTGTTAATCAGAACAGCCGTAGTGGACCTCAGAACGCGGGTATCGAGCCATCTGCTGAAAAGGACAAATTGTATAGGAAAGACCGGCCTCAGTGAGTATTTAAGAATGATATAATTGACATAAGTGCGAATATTTTGAAGTCTTTAACTGTTAAAATATGCAAATTTAGAACGAACAGAATGGCACACCAGAAAAGTGTAGCATACCTTGCTTCATATAAAACACATACCCAAAAACTACTACTATCCTACACTGTACATGTCATAATATGTTAATAATGAAGAAAACACGTTAGTCCGTGCGTCGTTGTTTAATATTTTTTACTTTGAAGTCTAAGTACTAGTTTCTGCTATTAATAAAAGGTATCCAAATTATAGAAAGAAATAATACATTATGCTAAATACTGCGATAACGCGTAATATTATAAATATCTAGATACAGTCTCACTTCTCTACCTAATTTACCTACCTAAATATGCTTGTTTGGTTCTCATTTTAGGTATGTAACCATCAACCGAGCGAGACAAGCGTCATCAACACCAGAACCACTCGAAAGCCTGGAAGAAGACGAGAGTGGATCAGATGAAGTCCAAGAACCCGTCAGATCCAGGATTTTAGAGTCTGTTAGTAGTGTAGCTACTACTTCTAAGCCATTACAGTATGTGAACATAAGAAGAGCAAGACCAACAACGTTGAGTGATTCGGTTGATACAGCGCCATCTAGGTAAGGGTTTTGTTATCATAAATATAATTCAAAGATGATTTTGGTGGGATTTGAACACAACGTACTGTGCTCGGAAGATGTCAATATCATTCTACATTTTCTTCTACATAAGAAGAAAATGTAGAATGTAGATGTAGAGTCTTTGGCGCTTTGTAATCTAGACCGTAACACATGTGTAGAAAGTGTAGATAGACTCTTAAACATTTTTTTATTGCAATTATATGATGGTTATTTTTTAAACCATGAAATTATTAAAAAGAAATCTTCCTTGTAGGTAATATGTAATATCACAAGAATTAAATTTAATCTTAGCTAAATATTTTGTATACTAAAATTTAGTATATTTTTTTAATATATCTGTATGTGAGATATAATAACTATAATAAGTCAAGTTGTTCAATTTGTACTAAGTATGATTCTTGTTTGCGTTGCAAATTGAAAAACAAATATACAGTTTTTTCAAAATTCTAGGCATATTTGGGGTATAATAAAGTAAATCTTTACTTTATCCATATCTAAAGTTATACGTTAATATAGATCGCATTTAAATGTACCTATTTGTTTGTTATAATATTTTGTTAAAGGGCAGAAGTAATGATCTATTTATCACATTATTTATTTATAGGAAAATATTAAAATTATATTAGTTTAAATTTAAAAATATTCCTTACAGAAACGCATTATTTGAGCGAGATCCCCTAGTGTCGGTTTCGGAGACCGGCGGCTCGCTGGATATTTCAAACTCACGTCGCACCACCACCACACCTGAATACGTCACCATTAGAAGAAGCAGGCCAACTACTGAGGAATCGTCTACATTGCAGTAAGTAGATATTTATATGATTACACACAAATCATTCATATTGTTTTACAGATATTATCAATATTATTTATTCCCTTAACAGATACCAGCAATCCGAGGAAGTGGAAACACAAGAAACCGCCCTAGAAAGGGAAATATCATCACCATCACTGCAACCGCAGTACTCTTCGATAATCCGTACTCGCTCAACAACTACCGCCCCAGAAGAAATTAACAGTCCCGAACCAACGACTGTGTTGTCTGTTCAAATTTCTTCACTTTTGAACGAGCCGAGTACAACTGAAGCTGAGACAGTTGCACAGACGACAGTCTCAACTGAACCCGAGACAACACCTACGACGACAACAACGACTTCCACGGCGGCACCAACGACACGCCGTAACTTGCTCAGACGACGTGGTTCAACTTCACCAACGACCACCACTGCAGCGACAACAACGACTCAGGTAAGTTCTAGAAACTATTCCTTTATACGTCGCCGTAGACCGCTATCACAACCGAACGACATATCTGACTCTCAAGAAATAAGTGAGGTTAGCAGGCGTATCCGCTCTACAACACCTGATAGTCGCGAAGTTGATAAGCCTAACACTAACAGTAGAAATCAAATCAGAAGGTTTAGAAGTCGCTTTCAAACAACGACAAGTGATGATTCCATCCCGGCCGCTGCATCCCAAGTACCAAGAGGGCAATACAGGCCACGGTTAACCCGAGATGAAGTTTTATCTCTGACCCCTATAGATGTAGATGATCAACAAATTATAGGCGATGCCGATGAAGAAAGTGAAATTATTCAGCCCCAAAACCCAACAACAATTGCTGATAAAATTGATGATAGCGAAGTTTCTGCGGCCACCATTGACGAAAGAAGACCAAATATATTACCGAGAGGTAGAAGTAGATTTATTGTAACGACAGAGTCTTTAAAACAGTCTGCCGCAACAGAACCTCCCGTAAATTCACGACGACCAACATTTGCAAGATTCACACCGCGACCTTTTGCTAGAACAGTAACTACTGCTCCAGTAAAGAACGACGATAATGATCCTCCAGCACAGACAAGAAACCGTTCTCGTTTTCCTATATCAAGGCCCAGATTAAGCTCATCTTCCACAGGGTCACAATTAGAAGCAAGAAAACTCCCTTTCCCAAGCCGTGTTTCTACTGTAGCGCCCACAACTATATTAGATAAGACTGAAGACGATTTATTAGATAACAAAGATGATATTTCACTTTCTGAAAGTGCTATCGAAGAAAAGGAACATGATGAAGTATACGATGAGCCTACAGAAACAACTAAGGCGCCGTTACGGCCAAGAGTAACAATTAGAAAACTAGTTACTCCTGACAACGGTCTGATCAATGAATCTTTAGTAGATGAGTTAGGGAAACGCAAATTCAGAGTGATTCGTCGGCGTCCTACCACTACCACAACTGAGCCAATTGACGTTATAGAAACAACCGCTACAACACCAACGAGGATACGTAAGATCATACGTAAAAAGGTAAAACCTATTGAAGAAGAAGATAACCAACCTAAAAATAGTATTAATGCTGGATTCAATGCCGCACCTAATGTACAAAACTATGGGGAAAAAACAAAGCCAACTCTTGCCACGTTACCCGAAGAAATTCCAGAAACTACTACTGTTGACGAGGATATTATTCCGGACCAAATTCTAACAGATTTAGTTAAAATTAGGCCAAATAAAGAAGAGTCATTTGGTAATGAATCTGCTGATATAGAAGACGAGAGCGATGATAAACGTGATAAAGTCCCTAATACGAGTTCTCTTAGCAATGTAAGCTCAGAAACAAATGAAAAACCCGAGGTAACTGTAATAGAACAAGATCAAGCAATTGTAACGTCAGATAAAGAACAAGTAGACCCAATAAATAATAATATTACTTCAACAGAAATAAAATCTCCCGCCACTGAAGAAAAAGATATTAACGTAAACCTAGGAAATGTGGATATAGATAAGGAAGATAGTAAAATGGAAGTAAATCCTACTGAAGAAAAATTAGACCGTGAATCCCCTACTAATGCAAACAACGATAAAGAAAAAATTGAAAATAATGAAGTGAAAGATGAAACTACTACTTCTAAGCCGACATCTCAGGATGAAGTAACAGAAACCACTGTAAGCTCAACACTTCTTTCATCTTCTCCAACAGCGCGATCTAGATTACCTTATCGGCCGTCGAAAAGAGTATACACGCCCTCCACAGAACCTTCGGTGCCTTCAAGTAGTAGAACTTTTAGTAGAAAGTATAACCCGGGAGCTTATACCAGTCCTTCAACTGTAGAAAGACCAAATTCATTTAGTAGACCAACAACAAAACGACCTTTGTTCTCCAGAACATTTACCAGAAGGACCTTCCCAACAGTAAGAACAACTCCAAGGTATGAAGAAGAAGAGGAAGATGATAATTATTCAGATGAAGAAATTTTGGATGAAGAGCCTGAAAATCCACTAGTTTTTGTACCACAAGGCAAACTCTTTACTAAGAAACCGGATTCTGAAGAGTACGAAGATATTGAAGGTGAAGATATACCAGAAGATGAAGAACCGGCTGATGACGAAAATGAAAATTATGAAGAAGAATCTCCAGTTAATCAATTTACACCATCAACTAGAAAACCATTCTTTAAGCCCCGCATCGTCAATTCTAATACGTTTAGGACAACGACTTCTACAACAGAACTTCCCCGCCCACTCACTAATGGGAAACAAAATAGTACGGCTACCAGAATTGCAAATAAACCAGTAGACCCTACTAAAAAACGCGTCCAAAATGTCCCAATCGGTTATAATGCACCAAAAGCAAATACTCCCGCAACATTAAATTCAACAAAATCTACTAGCCCCAAGACAGCACCAACTACTGTTTCACCACTGCCCGAAACAAATCCCACGACAACTGAAAACGATGATGATTATTTATCTATGACCGAGAGTATTACTACAATATCAGATGCTGGTAACACAAAAGTCGATAGTATTCCAACTACAAATAATGTTGAATATGAAACTGCCACCTCCGAAATGGAAATCGATAATAGTACGGATGATTACTTAGAGTATACAACAAACTACCCAAATACAAACACACCTACTGAAATCGACATTGCAAAAACAACAACAGATACGCCTGTAGAGAAAGATGTTCAAACAACAACAACTGAAAATGTATTAGATACCACTACTGCTGTCCCACAAGCATCTCCAATTGTTAAAACGCAGTTCGATAAACTATTTTCTATAAGCAGAGTTGTGGAAGTGTCTTCGAAATCGGAAAAACATCGTCTAAACAAAAATAACGAAACAACATTAATAGAAGAGGGTAAAGTGGTGATTGAGAAGAAGCCGACAGTTGATAAAATCGGTGAAGTCAGCCGATTTAGTCTTATAAAAATCGTTGAGGATGATATTCCGATATATTTAACAAAATACGGACACATTTATCCCGTTGACAATCCCCCTAACAACCCTATTCGTATCGATGAAGCCAGAAACGCTAGAGCCCTATTTGATTATTCAGATGCGCAAAAAGAGAACCTAGTAGCATCAGAAAGTATGAACGAAGCGTACAGACACGTAAACAGAATAACTAAGCAAGATAAAAGCCATTTAGATGTCGATAAATCCCGAATCGAACGTATAAACGACGACGATTTTTTGAGCTACGTCAACGATGATAAAAAGCAAGAAAAGCCCGGTGACGATCAATTTTCCAATTGGCAATTCATTCCGGCAGCTTACGAAAATGAACAGAATAAACTAAATAAACCAGCTAAAACCTTCGATATAGTTACGCCACGGGCTACATTACCAGACGCATCTACACTATCTTTAGAAGGACTTTTTAAGACCGAAAATCCGATAACTGCCAGGAAGATAAGCCAGGATGCAAATCAACCGTTCGTTGTGTACTCGGCTTCGGTACCGACTCAAAATGAAGAAGCCAATATTGTTAAACTAAAGGTGCTGAAACCTGAGACGGGACGTAGCATAGTGACATTTGCTAAAGGACAGGAATTCAAAGGATCAACAGTAAATGACGACGCAACGGTAAAATATCCTATATATGTGTCTGTTATATCTTCATCACCAGTTCCCGAAACTTCCAGTACGTCAACAACTTCTACAACAACCACTACACAAAGCCCTATTACGAGTCCTTTAATAGAGCTATTGACAACAACTGATCCGTCACCAGTTGTAGCTCAAACCTCCACTGAAACATCACCACAGACCACAGAAGCTACTACAACTGAAGCGACCACAGAAGAAACAACAACTGTTAAAATATCTCCCCTCGACGCTAAAAGATCGAAATACTTCCCGAAGAGACCGATTATAAAGCCTTCAAATATAACTCGATACAATCCAGTGAGAAACGCTAAAAAGAACGTTACCATATCGACTACAACGAAAGCCCCATTTAGCCCGAATAAGTCACGATTTTCTGGAAACAGAGCCCAGAATGTACCAGTAGATATAAGGAAAAAGAGTACAAAAGCAACAAGGAGTTTTACGACGGAAGCACCTAAATCCACGACGGAACGACGGGCCTATGTCAAACCCATAAGACCTCTTCGTCCTGCCTTCATCCCGAGAAGATTAACCACGCCTCCCACTAATGGAGATACTTAATTATAACTTTATAATCCGGGATCCTAGCAAAGATCTAACAAGAAAAAGTACTCGCAATAGCAAGTATGGGCAAATAAGAAAAAAAACTAAAGTCTAACAGCTGTGTTATAAAATTCTCTTTGCTGGGAATATACCCCTTACCCACTGCCTCGACTGAATTATTACTTAAGATGTCAGATATGACGTTTTTAACAATCAAGAAACGTCAACGTTTGTTTCTTACAATTGTTTGTACAATTCTGCTATTTTAAGAGCAAATAATATAAAAAAAATTGCAAGAGAGCATAATGCCGTAGCCTCGTCTTAAACTAGGAGACTTGTTACCTATTGTGTCAGTTCAATTATTTTCAGTATCTATTGTAAATATAATTTCAGTTAATTGTAGTCAAATATAGAGATTGATAGCTTTAAATTAGATAAGTGAAAGTTATTCTTACCAAAAATATTGTATATTGTAATTTCGCCTTGGTCAGAAGACTTTCCATCGTTAGATTATGTACTTTTAGGGTATTTAATTACTAATATTCATATTAAACTGTTACCATGTGTAAAAATCGGGAATTTTGTAATTATTGTAACACCAACGATAAATGTAATAAATATTTTTAAAACTACCTTCAATTATTTAATTGGATAAATAGATTTGTGTAATGTTCGTATCACAGTGGTTTAATCAACGAAGATTCAATCAAGAATGAAATGAAAAGGTAAGTACCAAATAAATGATACAATTAATGTGAATTAAGAATATTTTCTTCAAATATTAATAAAATGCGATAACTTATAATAACTAGAACTTATCAACAATTTAATTTGAAAAGCGTTCCTATTTAAGCTTTTTATTTTGAAAGTATCATTAAAACACAAATTTATTTGTATAATAATTTTATTCATAAAGAAAAATATATATAATGCGTAATAATTAAAAGTAGTCGTAAGTTAGTTTCACAACTCAAACCAAAAAAAAAGAATTCGCCAAAATTTCTTACATTAAATGAATTTCTTACATGTACCTGTTACCTGTTGAGGACATATTATATTTTTGAAATACTTGTATTGACGTACGACCAAACTATATACGACCTACGTATTCTAGGAGAGCCAACCCTACACGATATAATTAATTAAAAATCTATCTATTTAAGATTTAACCAATTTTACATCTAAAATATATACTTAAAAATTACAAAACGGTTCCATGCTCATGCTAGAATGTTTGATGAAGTGAACTATAAGCAACAATAGGGAGCTCTGTGGATGTGATCTAAGGTCCCGATGTTTTTTTATTTAAAAATAGATATTAAATATATCTATCATGAGCATATAATAAAGTTTCAAGCTATACTTATGCTCTCCATTTATACGTCTGAACTCCAGTCACTATTTTACAATTGATTAAACGGCGAGAACAGGTGTCGTGACTAGTTTTCTTGGGAAACAACGTCGTCCGCTGTAGACGATTTCCCAATACGTGAAACTTACCTCTCATTCATCAATTACGTAGATTCATCTGCTTGAATACATCTTCACTTGTAACGAATATAACCGTATATTCGGCCGAATATCGCTATTCGTATTTATATACGTAAGTAATGTATTATATTATAGGATCTCGATGATTGATATAATAAAAAATAAATTAGACAACAGAGAGATGAATTAGATTTAACATCGATCCCATATAGTCGCCTTTCTTTTGGCGTTACCGCGAGATCACAATCTGCACATGGCCCTTTTTAAGTTATTTACATCATCTTCGAAATACGTATATATAATCTGTATATATATTTCGTATATATTTTCAAAACCATCACATTCGTTTCAATTTTGGAGCTAAAATCTGTCCGAATAGTTTTACCTTCAGTTTGCAGTTTGAATTCAGTTAACGGTTCACCGAATATTCGGTATACTGCCGGATATAATATTCGTTGCAAGTCTAATCTTCACTCTGAACCTAATCGAGACTCGGAAGTCTCAATTATAAGCTAAGACTTTGAATTTAAAGCATTGAAAAAACCTGTTCATCCTATTATAGTGTGTGTACGGAGCAATGTAATGCAATCAGATAAAAGTCAATATAAACCCTAACAACCGCGGCTCATACAGTAAAAATCTATTCATCTATATAGATAGGGAAATTAAAACAAACAGCTCATTATTGTAACGATGTAAATGAGTATAATATTGACAGCATAAACGATATATAGCAAGCCCCGGTAAACACACTTCTGTGTCCGTTACATTGACAGATTTTCTATAAGGCAAGCGAATGATATTTTTTGTGCCCTGGCCGATTGAATCAATTTATGGTTTCTCCAGAACTCGAACCCTGTACATGTATTGTAACGTCACAGGCGACGCTTTAAACCATAGGCTACGGAGATACTATATAAATATTTAAAATTGTATCATTTTACTATTGTTTAAGCTGTGTTTGTATTAAAAGACATTATGTACCTAAGACGAAGTAGATTATTACAGTAAAAATTATATATCCAAGTCCGGAATCTCAGAACTTTGTTCGCCGACGGTCTTCCGTGTCGCATTGTTTTGTAATAACGTAACATATAGGTAATGAAATATGAATTTTCTGTTATACAATGACAGTTAAACCGTAGAGAAACATCTTATAAAAGCTGTAATTCTAAGTTATTTACAACTTTTTCGGCTCTTAGGTTGAGATTTGAAGAGACCTAATTTTGGAGATCAAAAATATGTCTCTCTAACATTATCTGCAGTGCTATCGGTTTTTCTAGATTAAAACGATTTTTTTAGAATAACACGTTAGAGTACGGAATACAGTACCGGTTCAAGACCGGGCCGTGTCGTATAAATGTTTCAATCTAAAATCAATTTTTAATCTCTACATTATCCAGGACCAGTCAAGTTTTTAATAATTAGATAAAAAAATGTGAAGTTTTTCGAATTTAAGTTGACAATGAAATGCCTGGTTACGAACCTTTGTGCCCTGCCGGACCGAAACTCCTTATCGAATTGTCCTAGGAATTGAACTCAGAACAACGTAGCTCCTTACATGTGTTAGGGACTTCAGATACCGTTATTAAATGATATAACATCAAAAATTCCACTCAAAGCTATGTAAAACAAAGTCTATCGAGGTAGTGTTACGTCGTGTGATTTTTTTCTAGGTTAACGAGCTTCTTCAAACTGTTACCGCATACCACATTTACCAAAATTAATGTTTAAATAAACATTTTACATAATGAGAGTTTAAGTTTTCATTAATTTCCATCTCATTAATGCTAATTATGTTATTGCGTAATTTGAAAGTTAATTGTTTTGTGAAATTTGACTTCTTTTAAAGAAAACTTAATGTTTTCTTTAAAAGAAGTCAAATTTAAAACGCGATATATATTAATGAAACTTATTTTAACTACAGCCCGACGTTTCGGATACTTTTTTGACCAGTCTTGTCCGGTGGTGTGTGGTGTGTTAAGATATTTTATTTAAATGCGATCTACTCGCTTAAACTACAGACAGTATTTAACTTCTTTGTTATCTTACGTCAAAATGTGGTATACAATAAGGGTATTCAATTGATTTTAATTCTTTATTAACTATCTGCTAGAACGCAAAATAAAAATAAATTTAATATTCGTTTAATAAGGCGTGCTTTGCAAATTCTTTATTTCAACATCTCCTCTCTTAAGGTATTTCAAATAAAACACAATAGTATCGTTGTTTTATTTTACAATTCAATGAATAAAATCGTCAAAATAAATCGGCTATTCTATCTGCCAGCACAATCCATGGAAGATAGATATCATGGTCCCCTTTATAGAATCCGTAGCAAGGATAACCGTCATTTCACCTGAAACAAAAGAACACAAAGCATTAGTTAAATGTCTATATTAAAATTTTACAATCACATGGGACAATCACAATCAATATAATTGAGATGAAAATTTTATCTTCAAAGCGGGACTCGAACCCGCAACAAAGCATCATTCCTCAGTTATCAATAAATGAATGACAATGCCAAATTTTAATTGAGGCCGCTAAAGGCAAAGTAGCCGAACTGCAGTCGTATAACTTGAGTTATTTATATTTTTAAAGTCTAAAAATGTTAATCTACAAGAGAAAGTGACCGAAAATTATTTATATAATTCATACACAGACTATATATAAATTCATTTTCGCCTAAGTTAATTGTGCATTTCTTCCTTATTGAAAATCATGTTTTTTGTTGTTAAGCCACATTGCTTCTAGGAGCCTCAATTATTCAAAACGTTCTTTAAATAAAAATATCTTTATAGTAATCTCTTAATCGTATACAATTATGATAAACATTTGCGGTAAAATTTTCCAATCTGGCAACATTCAGTTTCTCTCCATCAATGGACAACAACTCTAAAAAGCGCGCAGCATCCGTCGACCGGTGAAAACAACTTTCTCCGCCCGACCCGCTCTTACATAATATTTGTCTAATTTATTCAGTAATCTGTGTTTGTACGAATCATTCGCGAGGTGGAATTATTATTTTATTAGCAGTCGCTTGCTTATAAGTTAAACAAATGAAACTAACAAAGAAATTGACAAATATTGTGCACCATATTTTTTAATAAAGTTAATTAAATACTGTCTGTACGTTACGCGTGTAGCCGTGGTCATGGGAGATCTTCCGCGCGGTGCTGCAAAAGCAAAGCATCCGAATCGTCGGGCGGTAGTTAAAATAATTTTATAAAGTTTAACTAATATATATCGCGTTTTAAACGCTTTGTGTTTTATTTAAATTCATTACGTACAGTTAGTCTTAAATTAGATGATATTACTTGCTGCTTACAAAGTCCGTTTCAAATTTGTTAGTCATATACAAAAAATAAGATTAATGATGTTTATATACCCTTGTGACGGTTTGTTAAAAATTCATTTTATTTATTTACCTATAGCTGCTACAGTTGCAAACGTAAAAGATTTTATAACTTTTGAGATTTTAATTATTCGCATCATCTTATGTAAGATTGTGTTTTCACGCTCTT